GTAAATCAGCCATGTGGCAGTCACAGAATCTTTTGAATTCCTCCCTGAAGTACCTAGATAACAGTATCTGATGCAAATTTCCTGAGTTGTTTTACCTCAGCTAACGGAAGAAATTAACTACTAGATGATCATGAGCATGTAACCCCCAGACCCACTGGAGCCTGAGGATTAATAATGTTGACCCCTGTGACACCAACCTGTTACCTCACCATCAACCAATCAGAATTGTGCACCAGCTGATCACACACCCTGCGATGCCCCTCCCTCACTTTGCCTTTAAAACTGCTTCCCTGAAGCCCATCGGGCATTTTGGGTCTTTTGAGCATGAGTTGCCCTGTTCTTCTTGCTCAGCCCTGCAATAAACTTATGTCTGCTCCAAACTCCGACGTTCTGGTTTGTTTGGCCTCACTGTGTGTCAGGCACACGAACTTGGGTTCAACAACACTAAGAGAGGAAGCCACTTCAACGGTCAAGCCACTTCCTCAAGGTCACACAGTTTCTAAGGGCCTCAATCTGAAAGACAGTGAGGGTTGAGGGAAATCAGGGATTGGGGCAGCCTCGGGGAAAGAGTGCAGGGCCAGCACTGTGAGGAGGTCTGGGAGGGAGGGCCACTGCTCTCAGGGATGTGCTAGGCGCCGTGGAGAAAGCAATGGGGAGAAGAGGTATTCTTGAAGCATCTGGACTCCAAGGGCTTGGTGATTTGGGTGTAATTTCTCACCTCTCTGGGTCTTACCTGGGCAACAGACATAAGAAGACTTGACCTTCACACTGGCAGGCACCCATGCACTCCCCCGCTCCCCCAGCCCCCATCAAAGGATTTTCAACACAGCTTTATTCATTTACTATTTTTGTTGGCTTTGTTACAATCTTCACACTTTGTTCTCACTTCCTCGTGTGTGTTATGATTCTAACAGTCCTAAAGTTCTGAAGTGCCCCTTTTCTATCTGAGCCACCAGAGACTCCCCTCCTCTGCCTCCCAGGCAGGGAACAGAACCCCAGCTCATAAGATAATACCACAGATGGCCAAGTCTTGGTCCATGGCAAGAGATTCTTTCCAGATTCCATACTTGACGACCTGTAGACTCCCCTCCTCCCAAGGAACAACAGAATCTGCCCTTGTCTTTCCAGTGCACACCCAGAGCCCTGGGACAGAGCAGAATCCCCAGCCAGAAAAGATGGTGCTGTCTCGGGTGCCACAGAGATCAGCCAGGGGCCCTTTAAATTGGGTGCTCAGCTCATGCGTGGTCAGTTGGTGGAGGGGAAATCCAACTAGTCATTTCTCCTTTTGAGGCTCAGTAGAGGAACTTGAGGTCTCATGAAAAGCCTACATGCACAAAATATTACTTCTGCAGAACATCTGGCCTTGATGCACAGATAAAGCTGTGTGACCCCATGGGCACCACTATCCCTCTCTGGGCCTCTCTGGAATGGATGACCTCTAACTGCCCCTTCACATGCTGATGATCTGCAGTTATAAGTGAGCTTGAGTTTGGGGTTGAACACTCTATGGCTAGGATTTTTTTTTTTTTTTTTTTTTTTTATTTTATTTCGTTTTATTTTATTTTATTTTATTTATTTATTTATTTATTTTTGCTGGACAGCTGTGCCGTGTGGCATCCCTAGCTCCCTGACCAGAGATCGAACCTGCACCCCCTACATTGGAAGCGTGGAGCCCTAACCACTGGACCACCAGGGAAGTTCCAAACCTACTATTTTATATTTATGCTATAAGTAGCATAATGTATAATACATACATAATACATAACACAGCATTATGCATCTGGTGTGTGTGGCACAGGGAGAGTATGCACATCAGAGGTTGATCAGAGTGTGGAGACTGTGTGTGTGTGTGTGTGTGTGTGTGTGTGTGTGTGTGTGTGAACATGTAGGCACTTCAAATGATGGGGGAAAGGAGGAAGGGCTGGATGCTTACCGTTGGCCATGAGAAAGCCCTCAGGAAGTAAACCTGGGACACGAATGCTGCAGGGTTGATGGGAAACCACCTCCCTGGTCCCTGACTTGGAAAGCCCCAGGGCTGGCACTGCTTCCAGCTGGAGCCAGGGTTGATTACAATGTGCCTCTCTAGATCCAAGGCCAGTCTGTCCAGATTCCTACTCTCAGACCCGCATTTGAAAGCCTCCTCTTATTTTTTTGTGCCCTGAGACCCCTCCTGGTTAGACTGTCTCCATCTGCAGGCCCCTGCCTCGTTTGCAGCCTAGAGTTCCTTCTGTATAAGTGGGTTGAGCACAAGAACCAGTAAAGAGGTCACCTGGCCTGTCTCTCCAGTCACAGAGAGATACCTGGTTCTAGAAAACTATAATCAGAGCTCCAGGGAATTTGAAGGAGCAAGGATACGTCTTTTTCTTTCAGAGGGGTAAACAGTAAGGGATGTCCCCCTGAACTGAGACTCAGGAGGCCTGACTCCAGACTGTGCTATTGCCCTAGTAAACTCAGGAAAGTCATTTCCCTCCTCTGGGTGTCTGTAGGAATAAAGATAATCTACAACACAGAATCTCTAAATTTTCTTCTTTTCCAAGTGGTTAGCACATGGTATTTTAATGATCTGTAAACTTATCTGTCTCCCCCACTAGAACCTAATGGACTGTTCCTGTCCCCCTGACCCCCTTTCATACGTTGAAGCCTTAGCCCCCAACGTGATGGTATTTGGAGATGGGGCCCTTGGGAGATAATTAGGTTTAGATGAAGTCATGGGGTAAGGCCCCTATGATGGGATTAGTGTAATTATAAGAAGAGAAAGAGAGACCGGAGCTCTCTTGCATGCGCTCTTTCTCACTCTCTCTCTCTGTCTCTCTCTCTCTCTCTGCCATATGAGGACACAGCTAGAAGGCAGCTGTCTGCAAACCAGGAAGAGGATTCTCACCAGGAACCAAATCTGCTGGCTTGATCTTGGACTTCCCAGTCTCCAGAACTGCGAGAAATAAAAGTCTGTTGTTAAGTCACCCAGTCTATGGTATTCTGTTATAGCAGCCCAAGCTGACTAATGCAGACGTGGAGTTTTCTTCAGTATTTCCAGGGCTTGCCTAAGTTTCTGGCATATAGTTAAGGATGGCAATAGCAATAATGGAATCTAGAGTTATTGTACATTTCCTGTACCTGGTTCTATGCTGACCACTTCACACAGATTATCTTTTCTAATCAGCACAATAACTGATGATGTAGATGCCATGATGATCCCCATCTTTTCAGAGAGGCCAAATAGCTTGCTCAGGGCACCCAGATGGTAAAGGGAAGACCCCAAGCAGTCTGATTCCAGAGGCCCCCTTCTTAGGCATAAACAAAATCACCTTCCTTAGGAGGCATATCACAGTGCTCAATAAATGAGGATTAAATATTGTTTGAGTGAAAGAAGCTGTTCCCTGCAGTTGAATGCCCTCCCCTTCCCCGTCTGCCAAATCCCTTTTCAGGGCTCAGTTTCCCTGACTCTTAATAAGGACACAGTACTGTCTTGTGGATACCTTTTTTAAAACAATTTTTGGTGCTTTTTCCTTATTCTTACCTTAGTGACCTCTGACTTATTTCCTATATGCCTTTGTGGGCTCCTCCAGGATGGACCTGTGTCTTACCTACTTCTCTATTCCCAATCCACTACCTAGATGTTTCTAGGCATATGGTAGGTGCTCAGTTGATACTGGGTTGACTGACTAGCAAAAAGCCAAGGATGACTTCTGAAAATTTCCCCAAAGTGACCACATAATTAACATATATAAAACCACTGACCTATGGAATCATACATGCAGAACAAAATGTGTAAGTAGAGTTATGGGGAAAACACATTTTTCCTAAAGCAACTCTCAGTCTTTCCTCAATTTTGACTTTCAGAAATAATGCATAATTTAATAAGGTATTATTAAATTTACTCAGTGAGGTGTAATGTACACTTTGATGAGTTTTGACAAATATATACACCTGTAAAACCATCACCCCAAAGAAGATATAAACTTTTCCAACATCCTAAAAAGTTACTTTGTGTCCCTTTCTAGATAATTCTTCCCACCCCTTGCCCTCTACAAAAATTGTTCTGATTTTTATCACTATAGTTTAGTTTGTCTGTCCTAGAACATCATCTAAATGAATCATACAGTATATACTTTTTTGTATGTGGCTCTTTTCGTAAACCTAATGTCTCCGAGTTCATCCATGATGTTGTCTGTAGTTCATTCTTTTCATTGCTGAATAGTATTCACTGTGTGGATATATTATTTCCTGTCAATATAAATTTGGGTTGTACATGAACTATCATGTACAAGTGATTTTGTAGGCTTATGATTTCATTTTTCTTGGGTAAATACCCAGAAGTGGAATTGCTGTGTCAGGCTATTTTCTTTGATACCCAGAGTCCTTTGTAATTGTTAGAAACAAATTATTTTTCAGAAATGTGACCACTTAAAATGGCAAATCATCATCATAAGGCCTGGAGATTTCCTGGAGCATGAATGCTCTGTGTTCCTTTAATTGGCACACTAGGCAGTATATTCAGGGCTCCGAGTAGGCACAGAAAAAAGAGAACAAAGAAGGAATATGACCTGTTCACAGAACTGTATGAAGTTTCTCAGAGCACTTATGGTTTGAGCAGAGCAATGGAAGATGCTAAAATCACTTGGTCGTTGCAGACCTTTGGAGTAAAGACTTCGACAGGATTAAGAGGGACTCAGACCACATGTTGGGTGTTGGCTAAGCCATGTCCTACCTGTGTGACCTTATACAAAATTGCACAACTACCTCTGCATCTCAGTTTCTCGCTTGTAAAATGAGAGGAAAACCTTGTGAAACAAAGACAGACATTCTCTGCCCCCTGCACAGGGATGCTGTAAGGATGAGCTAAGATAAAATCTACCTGTCTCACCTTGATAAACTGTAAAGTGCTGTGCAATGTGAGATAGCACCATGTGGAGAGAAGCGGGAACACACACAGAGCTCGCTTTGTGCTCCGATGACTGGCACTTATTGCCATGAGGACTCAGCTGCCCTTCTTTCAGGGGATGGCGGGCAAGGTCAGACACACAGTGACAGTAACTCTTTGTGAGTTGCCAGCTGGACCCGGATACCTCTCTCCATTGTGTTCATCTCTGCAATGGGGGGACTGTCAGGCTCTTTATTCCTTTACACCTGCAGGAAAATCATTCCCCAAATCACAGCCACCTCCCCACCCTCCACACAGTATATCTTCAACAATTTTGTCCCTCGCTGATCTTTATCACCCAACTTATTCTCGGTCCACCACTGCAGATGACCTAAGGTGACTATTTTATGGAAAGTCTGTCTGGGGTAGTTCTAGCCAAAGACCTCAGGAAGAGATCTTAACTGGAGATAAAAGGTGAACGCAGGCAACATCACATACCAGCTGTATTTATTGAGAACTTACCTCTGAGTGCTAAGTGCTCATAACCATTTTATGAGTTGGGCACTATTATTACTCTTAGTTTACAGATAAGGAGCATGAGGTAGGACTAGGAGTCTTGGAAACTGAGGATTCCATTGTTGTCACTACCAAGGCTGCTGCCAGGTCACATGATCTTGAGCCTCAGTCTCCCTACCAGTAAGATGACAGTGAGGACTACCTCCCTTTAATTTTAGACATCTTTTCCAGCATCAACATCCTGTAAGTCCGTGTCTGACTCTGGATGAGTCAAATAGCCCCTCTGAAACTGTTTTCCCATCTGTAGAATGGGCAGAATCATCATCACCTGGCTAGGTGCTGCTGTGACAGCGTCCTGTGAAGAGGGAACTGTGCTGAGATACTGCGTGTGTGTCTCCTCAGGGCCCCTGAGCCCCTAGGAAATGGTGGGAACCGGTGATGAGCCGGAAACCAGGCACTTCCTTACAGGTTCCCCGTTCACTTGGTCAGGAGTGAATAGAAGAAACAACAGAGATTATGGGACATTTTGCCCTGATAGGATCTTGAGATCAGCTTGTTAAATACTTCCCATTCGATAGAAGAGAAAACTGATGCCAGCAAGGGTAGTAGTGTTTTCTCCAAGGACACTTAGAGAGCAAAGGAAGAGCTGGAATTTGCAGTCCTGGCTTGCTGATGCTGGGTCAGTTCTTCCTGGAGCATCAAGATGCTCACCTGCAGAAGAGAATGCTGCATCACTCCCTGGGCCCCACTCTCTGCCTGGGTTTGCTTCCTGTCTAGCCACATTTCAAGTAATTAATAGTCACGTGTGGCTAGTGGCTGTCGTACTAGATAATTGCAGCTTGAGAGAGACGTGATGCTGTTTTACTGAGGATTGGACACTGGGTGGCGCTGTTATCCATTTTGATCCGCACTTGAGACAAGACAGACACAGGAGTAAGGCCAAAGCAAGGTATTTATTACCCTGTCCTTGCCTTCCCCTGCCCCTCCCCCTCCTTCAGAAGGCCCACTTACAAAGAACTGCTGCTTAGCCTAGGCACAGACTTCCCAGAGAGCAGTAGGTGAGTTCTCACACGCGGCTGGGGCATCGGGGCAGTTCAGCAGAGCCAGGTGATGGGTAGGGATGCCAGTTGGAGCCAAATGCCCTCGAGTTCTGTCAGGCTTCCAGGTTACACAAGGAGAGGTGCTGTCTTACAGGAAACTTGTGCAGAATTTTACAAAGGAGTTTGGATATCCAAGTAGATGTTATCAAAGCTTTATTAGGAAAAGGCAGAATATACACCTGTGACCCATTTCTTAAGAAAAATCATCTGGAAAGAAGCTGAATAATCTGATAGGAAATTCTAGCTAACCACGAGGTCTTTGGAATTTTGGCCACTAGGCTCTTTCTTGTGCAAACTTTGCAAACAAGCTTTAATATTTTCTTTGCTCTCTGGTGAGGACTACAGAAACTCATTACAAATGTACTTTGCATCTAAGAAGACTAAGCCTACAAATAGAGTTTGCCTAGTTTCACCCTAAGACAGAGTAGTCCATGGGAATTTCATTATTCTCAGGCTGAGACAGTCCAGTGAATGGGTCATGAATCTGGGTAACCCTACCCATTTTAGAGGCAGCATGAAAAGTGTGAATTGAAGGGCTGCGTCCGCATTCTGATCTATTGGGAACACTGTCCTTCTAAGTTTCTTATCTTTCAGACACTGATCTAGCATGAGATCTGAAACACCAAAAAGACACCACAGTGGGGGCAATACTCTGGATCCCAACTTTTGGAAGGCTGAGGGGGGATCACTTCCATTCCTCTCCCACTTACGGGTCATGTAGAACACCTGCCACCATCTGTGAAAGAAAGCTCAGTGTGAGTTCCTACCATTTGCACTGTGACCCTTCTCTGAGCTTCTTGTGTTTGCTGGGAGCCCCTGATCAAGTTGAGTCCACTGTTAGGAGGCAGTCTATTTCCTCAAGCGTGACTCTCTAGGTGTGGCCCTGCAGGTGGACCCAGGGCAGGGGTGGAGCAGAGGAAGGGAGGCGTGCTGGCCAGGGATCTAGGAAGCAGGCTTGTCAACGACCCAGGAGCACTGGAGGCAGAAATGAGCTGTAGCCCAGCCCTGATTTACCATGAGAAGGCTTCCACCTGCCCCCAGTTGCTTCTCCATTGCACACCAGTGCAATGAGCCAAGGCCAGCTGAGGACGTTTGAGGAACAAGGAGGGTGAGGGAAGAGATATTTGAAGGTATGACCTCTGGAAGGACAGTCAACTTCAGTAGGTCTGAAGTGAACATTCCCTGGAGATGGAGCAGGCTTGAGAATCAGAGCAGGATATTGACACTATCTAGACTGGCTTGGCCAGTATGAAAAAAGAATCATAATCCTGGATTCTGAGATACTTTAGGACTCAAACATTCCTTTTCTGGATTTTTAAAACCCAGACCCATGGACTTCTGGGTGTCAAAAGGCCACAGGAATTTTATGCAAAACAGAGTGTGTGTGTGTGTGTGTGTGTGTGTGTGTGTGCATGCAATCACACAGGGCATTTCTATGGAGAGAGAAGCCATAGTCCATCAGACTCATAAAAAAGAAAATGGTAACAATTCCTGCACTAAAGTTCTCTGTGCAAAGGGGATAAATGAACTCAGGGGGTTGTGAAAAGAATAACTTTGGAAGAATAACGTTCTTGGTAGAACTTATTGGAAAAATAGGCTTCATGGCAAGACAATGCATATTTAAGATTTGACAACTGTTTAGTAAAGGAACATGCTTTAAAAAAAAACAACCAATACCATATTCAGGTATGATTGACATACAAAAGGCTGACCATATTTAATGTATACAACTTGGTGAGTTTGGGGATAAGTATACAGCCATTAAACCAACACCACAATCTATGCCGTAAACACATCCATCACCTCCAAAAGTTTCCTCCTGTCCTGTTATTACTTTTTGTGATATGAATATAACTTAAGATCTACCCTCTTAGCAAAACATTAAGTGTACAATACAGTATTGTTAACTATGGACACTAAGCTGTGCAGCAGATCTCTAGGACATATTCATGGTGTATAATTGAAACTTTGTATCCTCTAACCACCACCTTCCTGTTTCCCTCCCCCCATAGCCCCTGGCAACCACCCTTCTACTCCGTTTCTGTATATTTGATTATTTTTGATTCCTCATATCATGTAGTATTTGTCCTTCTGTGCCTGATTTATATTACTTAACATAATGTCCTCCAGGTTCATCCATGATGTCGCAAATGGCAGGATTTCCTTCTCTTTTAAGTCTGAATAATATTCCGTTGTATGTAGATACCACATTTTCTTTATTGATTCACCCACTGATGCACACTTAAGTTCTATTTATATCTTGGCTATAATAATTGTGAATAACGCTGCAGTGAACATGAGAATGCAGATATCTCTTCAAGATCATGATTTCAGTTCCTTTGGATGTATACCCAGGAGTAGGATTGCTGGATCATATGGTAGTTCTAACTTTAATTTTTTGAGGAACTTCCAGACTCCTTTCCATAATGGCTGCACCAATTTACATTCCCATCAACAGTGTACAAGGGTTCCATTTTCTCCAGACCTTCACCAACACCTGCCTTTTTAAAAATAATAACCATCCTAACAGGTGTGAGATGATAGCTCAGTGTGGTTTTGACTTGACTTCCCTGATGATTAGTGATGTTGAGCACCTTTTCATATACCTGTTGGCCATTTGTATGACTTCTTTGTAGAAATGTCTCCTCAGATCCTTTGCCCATTTAAAAAATCAGGTTATTTGGATTTTTGCTATTGAGTTGTAGGAGTTCCTTATATATTTTGGATATTAATCCTTTATAAGATATAGGATTTGCAGATATTTTCTCCTATTCCATAAGCTGCCTTTTCATTTTGGTGATTGTTTCCTTGCCGTGCAGGAACGTGCTTTTTATATACATCATCTCACCGACTTTCCCAAAGCTGACAGTCCAGAGATACTAAACAGCTTGTCCGGGTCTCACAGCTTTTACCGACCAGTCTCCGGGTCTCCCGACGCCTGCTCAGTGCTCTTTCAACTCCAACTCCGAGACCCAGGCTCCCTGACCTACCTGGTGCTGTGGCTGGCCCTCTCTGTCCAGACTCTGGAGCTGAATCAGCTCTTCTTTCCACGGAGACATACCAAGAAGTGACTTGCCTCTGCCAGTCTTGCTGCTGACAAATCTGGAACCCTTGAGTTCAGAAACACACTGGGCCAGATCTTGAAAGTGCCCAGCATGGCAGCTTCCTTTTTGAGCAATTCTCTCCCATGTACATGGAGAGGGGTTGCAAGTGGCCCTGGTACAGGGATGTCATTGCGTGTGAGCTCCTGGAGGGGGATGGGCACTGTGGGGAGGGAAAGGTGGAAAGGGATCCTGTATCCTGGGGCTGGGCCTGCTACAGCGCACACAGCTCCTAGTGCCACCTGGAAAACAGGTTTCCTAACTCCCAGGCCACCTATTTTCCCTCCCACTAAACCACCCCTCTGGTGCATCTACCCCAAACCAGTTGAGCAAGCCCAGTGATTGGAAGGATAACCACGGTGCTCATCTTCTGTCCAACCGCGTTACCTTGGGTGGATTTATTATTGAGGAACCTCTGAGGTTCAAGAATATCACCTATGAAAATAAAAAGACAAAGTAAGATCATGGTTTAAGCTGAACCTACTTTCAGTTTTATGCGTAAAAATGTCTTTCATTTCTACAACACTACTTTAGAGTTCACATGATAGGTTCATATATTTGAAAAGCATCTATGAGATTGTCGCGCGGCCCCCATCGCTGGCGGCCTCCTCCGCCCGTCGAGCGCGCTCCCGCGAGAGCCCGGGAACCCGGCGAGCCGGCCGTGCGTTCCGAGTCGCCGCCGTCGCCGCCGGTCTCCGGGACCGGCGCTTCCAGGCCGGGCTGGACGGGCACCTCCCGCCCCTCGAGGCAACCGCCGCCTACCCGCGTGTGTGGGAGGAGCCGCCGCCGCCGCCGCTGGTGCAGACCGCGGAACAGTCCAGGGCCCCGAGACATGGGGAACATACCCCCGCGCTGCGAGAACAGATTCCGGTCACTTCCGCCTGTCGGAACCCTGTCCCCCGCAGCCGCGCTAGTTCCGGCGCCCGGACTCCCGGTGAGGAGTCCGGCCCGAGACGCGGCCGAGGCTGCGGCCACGACCGGCCGGCAGCCCCAGATGGAGAGCGGAGCCTAGCGGGCCTGGCCCGGCGGCGGGGACTTGCAGGCCCCCGAGACCCGGCTCAGGAGCCGACACCCAGCCCTGAGCCAATCCCGCCCCGGCCCCGGAGGGACTCCCGGGCGCCCTTCCCCGCGGCTCGCCGACTTCCCTCCGTGACGAAGTTTTCTCCTGTGCCTTCCCGAGGAGGATCGCTCTCTAGCTCTAGGACTCGCCTTCTGGCGGACTTGCTTGGTTTGCTTTGGGAGGTAACTTGCTTCGCTCCCACCCACGTCTCCTTTCCTTGTCCTCTTCCAGTCCGACGTTCTAGGTGACTGAATGGAGTTTTGAGTTGGACTCTTGTGTACCTTACAGAGTTGAGCCTGGTCCTGGAGCGCTGGGGGTGGGGTGGCCTCAGCTGTAAGATGCAAATTGGATAAAAGGAGGACCTCTCGCCAAGGGCCCCAATGAATGGCACACAGTCTGCTATCACCGACGAGTTGGTATGAAGCTCCCCCTGCGCTCAGCCTCCCTGGATGGGGCCCGACCTAGCCGGAGAGTCAGGGTTTGCCCAGTGAAGTTGACAGGCGTCAGAGAGAGGGTTGTTTTGGAGCTCTGCAATTAGCCTGGGGTTGCTGCCAAGTTATCCGGTTGATTGAATTTGGAAATGTGTGGGGGGGGGTTGTTTGGTTGGTTGGTTTTTGTTTTTGTTTTTCTGAAAAGAAACATTTCTCCAGATTCTCAGAGGAGGGGTAGGTAAAGCCATGACTGTGTTTTTCTGTCTGCAGTGTGCATAAAGATTCTGTACTGATCTTGGAATCAGAGGGTGAAGGCCAGTGCCCGAAGTCAGCTGGGGTATTGGTGCATCGTCAGTTTTACTCCTGTCCTGTAGTTCTCTAGACTCTGTTGCATTTTAGGAATTTCTGTTTGTGAACTTCATTCTGAGACTGCCACATGATGATTTATGAATTTGACATCCTTTAAGTATTGACTTGCACAGTGTTTATTATCTAATAGTTTTCCAGAATGTTGGAGTTACCAGTAAATCACAGGCTCCTGGTGGGGACAATATCAAGGAGCTAAAAAAAGGCGAGGGAACGTCATGGGGCTTGATTTTTTTTTTTTAGTAGTTTTATTTACTTATTTATTTTTGGCTGCGTTGGGTCTTTGTTGCTGCGCGTGGGCTTTCTCTGTTTGCAACGAGCGGGGGCTACTCTTCATTGTGGTGCTCGAGCTTCTCACTGCGGTGGCTTCTCCTGTTGCGGAGCAGGGGCTCTAGGCTTGCGAGCTTCAGTAGTTGTAGCACGCGGGCTCAGTAGTTGTGGCTCACGGGCTCAGTAGTTGTGGCTCACGGGCTCAGTAGTTGTGGCTCACGGGCTCTAGAGCACAGGCTCAGTAGTTGTGCTGCACGTGCTTAGTTGCTCCACGGCATGTGGGATCTTCCTGGACCAGGGCTCGAACCTGTGTCCCCTGCATTGGCAGGCAGATTCTTAACCACTGCACCATCAGGGAAGTAAGTCCATGGGGCTTGATTTTAATTATTGCGTTTTTAGTATTTCATCTTCCAGAAACATTTGCATTTAAGGGCTATAAAGCCTAAGTGAATTATGTAGTAGAAACTGGCAGGTGGATTTGTTGAGTTGGGTGAGTCCTTTATAGTACTTACCTATGTTGCTTGGTGGTGGTTGATAAATTGAGCTAGACTATGTGTGGTTCAAGTAGAGTTCCCTTATTCTTAAGAGTTATTCTTTGGACTATTAGGTGAAGTGATAAAAGCATATTCCTTTACTACATTTTACTTCTCAGTTTAATTATGACATTGTATCCAGGTCCCAGGTTTTACTCAGCCTTTTTTTTTTTTTGGTCAACCTTCACACTATTACATCATTAAAAAAAAAAAATCAAATAACTGAAGTAAGGGACCAAAGAAAGCACTTTGATGAGAAGTGCAACAATTGTGCTCCTGCAGAAAGTAGTTGAATTTCCTAATAAGAGAGTTTCACCCAATTTTAAGACACATTTGTTGATTTTAAAAGGGCCAAATTCCATTATCATACCATAGCTATTTCCAGAAACAGAATTTCCTCTTCCTGTTCATGCTTTCCACATGTGAATGTTCACCTAAAAGATTCCATTAAATATTTAACTTTTTTTTTTTTTTAAAGCATCTGTGGAGTGTACCTATGTGCCAAGCACAGAGCTGTGCTTAGGAGGCGGTGGTGAACAAGTCATTCATGGCTCCCTGTCTACATGAATTCACAGCCTGGCAGAGAGTGAAGCCCTAAGCCCTGGCAGGTTTTGACAGTTTACTGGGAAGCCACATCACCTTGCTGGCTGGTAAGGCTTTTCTGCCTCTTCCCAGCTGACACTTCCCAAGTCACGTGGTGTCCTCGGTACCACATAAAGGACTGCTCAGTGAGCAACAGTGACTGCATTCTCTCTCTGAGGCCCAAATATGTGCACCTTTTGCACCTTCACTCTGTATCCAGCAGAGGAGTACTCCCTAGGCTCATTCCTCTGGTAGTACCTTTTCCTCGGACATGTCGGCTACGTCTCTCTCCTTGACCTACAGGCAGAGTGAAGAGGTCTGTTTCCTCGCGCTCAGAGTGATGCAATGGAGGATCATGAAAAGATGGTTTTAGGAAGGGTAATTAAAGCTATTTCCTGTGCTGTGTGCCCTCTCCCTCTTGGCACAGCTAGGGTGGCCCATCATTGTCAAATGACTGAAACCAGTGTGATGGAGGTCTCCATCTCCAAATTGCATCAGCTTGAAAGTGTCATTTCTAGAAGCGACCTCTTTCTGGTCTTTCTTATAAAAGAGCCTCTTGTACGGGAACAAATGAGGAAGATCCACATTGACTGCCTCAGACAGGGACTTCCATGTGGAAAGAGATACACCAGCAGCTTTACATCTTCCTCTCCTAAAGAGTACACTCACAGTCCTTTCCTTCTGGGATCTCTACACCCTTTGCGGCTCCCATTAACTCTGAAGGTGGTATTCAAGATAATTAAGAGGTGGAAGGAAGGTGTGATAAGGTGGTTTATTCCTAATTCTGAAAATTAATTCTTTAAATCCAGTGCCTTATTGTTTGGTGAATAAGGAGGGGGGAGGGTAATCTAGTACCTTGTTCTTTACTTTAGAATGCTAAGTTCCTATTAATTAATTTTTATTTTTTTTTTTAGCCACGCCGTGTGATGTGCAGGATCTTAGTTCCCCCGACCAGGGATGGAACCCATGTCCCCTGCAGTGGAAGCGCAGAGTCTTAACCACTGGACTGCCAGGGAAGTCCCTCAGTAATTTTTTATATATTACAGAAAGATATTTATTATACGGAACTGGCTCGCGCGATTTTGGAGACTGACAAGTCCCAAGATCTGCAGGTGAGTCAGCAAGCTGGAGACCCAGGAGGGCTGATGGTGTAGTTCCAGTCTGAGTCTCAAGGTCTGAAATCCAGGAGAACTGATGTTTCAGTTACTGTCCAAAGGCTGGCACAAATTTTTATAGATATAGAAAGAAACTTTAAGTATCCTGTTTATGATGGAATGATTTGATTGTGCAGCATAACCAGCTCTGTAGCTGCTATTTCATAGTCCCAGGCTGAGGGTTTGTTCAGAGGGAAACAGAGGAATATCTAAGTACGTATACTACCTTGCATTCCTAAGCACTTTGAGTTGTTTCTTTCAAAAGATTAGCAAAAGTGGCATATTTATTTTATTTTGTATCTCTTTAATTGCTAGTGAAGATGTCATTTTTTGTCACCACCTGAAGTTTAAGAGCCTGTATTTTATCTGAACACTTATATTTGCATAAATTCTGTGTATATTTGGGTAGAAACCTTTTATCAGCTCTCACCTTCCCCCCATATGTTCCTTTCCTTTTGATATTTTATGCATTTCCTGATATTTTATGTACATAGTACCACAGAACGCTGGTTCCTAGCGGCGTACTCAGCAAGTATTTATGCAGACATGTTGAGTTTGAACTTGAATGGGCTTTGAGGCTTTCTAGTCCAGGAACCTAAACACACATATGTAGAAGATGAGGCTCAGAGCAGTTCAATGATTTATCTAAGGTCATAGCTGGTAAATAAAGAATATTGAGCTAGACCTTGATGTCCGGTAAGGTTCTAGACACCACACCAAATTGCCTCAAACCCTAGTGCAGGGTTTCTCAACCTCAGCACTAGTTTTTGGGCCTAATTGGCCAGATAATTCTTGGTTGTAGGGGACTGTCCTATGCACTGTAGAATGTTTAGCAGCATCCCTGGCTTCTATCCTCTAGAAGCCAGTAATGAACGCCCCCACCCCTGAGTAGTGACATCTGAAAATATCTCTAGACATTTTGCCGAGTGTCCCCCGGGGGACAAAATTTTCCCCACTTGCTCTAGCAGGAGGTAAACACTTCCTAGGCTTTGCGGGGGGTGGTGAGTTTCCTCTGCAGAAGTTTAGAGTTGGAGCCTGGCACTCTTCTCAGACAGGTGGAGGATGTGGACAAACCCATATAGTTGCCCCATTCTACCTCTACAGAACCAGGAGTATGGATACTGAGAGCTCCTATCCCATCATATGGTTCTGAGTCAGCCCTTCTTCCACAAGGCTCACAGGAGGGCTGAACTGGCAGGCTGGGAATGGGCAGGGAGGAGGTGGGGTCTGCACACTTGTTGGAGCCCAGGCTTCTGCTGAGATGGAGACAGCAGTTCAGACCCCTGAAGAATGACACAGGCAGAGTGCTGAGCAGGTCTTCCCAAGATAATGAGTGTGAAGCCCAGGTGAAATCAGCACCAGAGACAGCTGCCAGGGCAGACAGTTTTCGGGCACTAGATTGACCCAGAGGAGTTCCTTCCAGCCCTGGTAGTTTGGATCTGAATAGCCTTTCCCTGCTGGTCTCCTCCACCAACAATGTTCAAAATATATGTTTAAGGTAACCTTCACCACTGCACTATGAGATTGCTACTGTGATCCTAATGTTACAGAAACTGAAAGCAGGCTCAGAGGTTCCCTTGCTCAGTGTTACACAGCTAGAAAATCTCAGGCTTCACAGTTGGACTGAGGATACTGGCTTCAAAGTCTGCTCTTTACCAAATGCCTCCTCCAAGCAAAGCTTAAGCATCACATCTTCCATGAAGAACTTCCAGAAACTCTATTCCCCATGGAACTGACCACTCCCTTCTCTGCCCCCCACCCCCTGACACCATACCTTGTAAACACTTCACAGCCTCTATAATACTTTGTTGCACTTGTCTCTACATCTTCCCCTGCTATACTGTAGACTTCTTTGAGGCCAGGTAGAATATCCCCAATTAATAACATGGTGCCGCCTGACACACAGTAGACACTTAATAAATGTCGTTGAATAAATAGATTCAGAGGAGCTACATGAATCAGTTATGGGGACCTTCTCCCATGATCAAATCCATTATAGGCGGATCAGCAAGAAGAGAGTTCTGTAATTCCTGATTCTGAACTCTTTCTATAGTCTTAAAGAATGAAACCAAAGTGATGATTTTGGCAAATGTGGAAAACAAAGATTACTGACTCATTATTTTCCAAGTTGGTCACACTGCTGTTAGAACAACAAATGAAAAAGAAAAATGAAAGTTACTAGACAGTGTTAACAGTTTCAGGTTATTGAATTTTCAGTGTTTTTAAGATTGGAGAAGAAAATCCTTAAGGGGGAAAGAAAGAAACAGCAGAATTTGTCCCTGAGCATCTTTATAAGGCAAGAAGTTCAAACTTTGGAAAGGGTCTGATCAGTCTTTGGGGTTGGACACTGCCCTCCAGGACCTGTCAAGCATCACTCTAGTCTGAGGAGAACAAGCTTTCTTGGTTGACTGAGGAATTGATCTCGTTTATCACCAGATTCTTGGCTCAATGTAAGGTTGTGTTCAGATGTGCCACCCTCAAAAAGCTGGGTCTTCCCCAGGGAAGCATCTATTTCTAAGCCACATGAGGGCAAGCTAAGGGCCCTGCTCAGACTCTGTAGTCTTTGGACGACCCTCCACCATACCTAGTGGAAAGAGACTCCCTATCATTAGCGATCACTCCTAAGGCTAGAAGGCCCTTCACTTTGGTGAGTCTTTACTTATTATCAGACCCAGAGATCTTCCTGCCACTTGGACTTGGCATTTCTGAGAGTCAAGCACTGGGGACAGGGAGGGATGGAAGAAACAGTTTAAACCCTGAGAGTGCCTCAGGGTATTGGACTTGCAGTTAAACACTGTTGAGTAATTACAACTTTTATCCAAAAGGCACACATAACTGTTGTATTTTTTTTATATATAAATTTATTTATTTTTGGCTGTGTTGGGTCTGCGTTGTTGCGTGCGGGCTTTCTCTAGTTGTGGCGAGCAAGGGCTACTCTTCGGTGCAGTGCGCGGGCTTCTCGTTGCAGTGGCTTCTCTTGTTGCGGAGCACGGGCTCTAGGCACGCGGGCTTAGTAGCTGTGGCTCGCAAGCTCTAGAGCGCAGGCTCAGTAGTTGTGGCTCACGGGCTTAGTTGCTCCACAGCATGTGGGATCTTCCTGGACCAGGGCTCCAACCCGTGTCCCCTGCATTGGTAGGCACTTAACCACTGTGCCACCAGGGAAGCCCAACTGTTGTTTTTTTTTTAATTTTTATAAGACATCGAAAGGCAAGGCTTCATATAGATGATGAAAATAAACACTAAGATTTAAAATAAATGGGCTATATAATTTACAAAGGAACACACACTAAAAACTAGTTAACACACACGGATAAAATCATTCTGGGTAACTTAAAGATATGTCATTCAAAACAAAAGGCTTTATATTCTGCTTCTTACATCAGGAGTTAAAAAAAAGTCTCACTGTCAAGAGTAGGATTTATAATCCTATCATCACTGAGGGAAATCAGTGATGATAGGATTGGAAATTGGACACAGATCTAGGAGACAGCATGGTGCAGTGGCAGGGTCAGAGAGAGCTGCATTCCAGTCTTGGTTCTGCCACTTACTATCTCTATGATCCTGGAAGTTTCTTTGGGTCTGTGTCTTTCACATCATCTTGAAAATGGGGATAATACTATCCACTACTTATACATATACTCTTTTTTTTAATCTGTAGTTTTACTTTATTTATTTTTTAAGATCTTTATTGGAGTATAATTGCTTTACAATGGTGTGTTAGTTTCTGCTGTATAACAAAGTGAATCAGCTATACATAAACTTATATCCCTGTATCTCCTCCCTCTTGCATCTCATATACGTATACTCTTCAATGAGTAACTGATGTAAACTGTTTAACAGAGAACCTGACATGGATAATTAATGATGGTTGATCTCCCTACCCCCATGGAAGGGAAGAGGTGACAATTCTCAGTGGAAGCAGCATGGATATTTGTTATATTATTCTTCTGTTCTTGAATATGTTATACCATTATTCTATTCTTGAAAAGAGAGATAGAGAAAGATCTTTAAAACTGGAGATGATATTTCAGGAAAAAGGCAGCCGTGACTCACCTCTAATTTGGGTATTTTCTTCTCTTCTTGGGAAAGAACAGACCAGGGAAAACAGAGCTGAAAGGAGAAAGGAAAGCCATGGGATCAAGCCTGGCCAAACGCAGCCTTAGAATTGGAAGGGATCCTTTGCCTCAGCTGTGCCATCTGGCTTCTTCTTCCTTCCTCACTGCTGTCTGCCCTTTCCCCTGACCCTCCCACATGTACAGTAAGTCCCCTACATATGAACAAGTTCCATTCTGAGAGCACATTCGTAAGTCCAATTTGTTCGTAAGTCCAACACAGTTAGCTTAGGTACCCAACTAATACAATCGGCTATATACTGCTGCTTTTTTTTTTTTTTTTTTTTTTTTTTTTTCCTTGCGTTATGCGGGCCTCTCACTGTTGTGGCCTCTCCCATTTGCGGAGCACAGGCTCCGGACGCGCAGGCTCAGTGGCCATGGCTCACGGGCCCAGCCGCTCCGCGGCATGTGGGATCTTCCCGAAACGGGGCACGAACCCGCGTCTCCTGCATCGGCAGGCGGACTCTCAAGCACTGCGCCACCAGGGAAGCCCTATACTGCTGCTTTTATGCTTGCTTCCGGACATCCTGGGTTTGAAGTAAAGATACTGTGCTAGTGTACTCTACACAGTACTGTATAGTAAAGTATACAAAAGCACAACCACTTGTAGAGGATGCGCGCACACGACAATGTACGCCAGACACATGAACTAACTTATGTGATTGGACATGTGAACACATGTTCGCATCTTTGAAAGTTCGCAACTTGAAGGTTTGTATGTAGGGGACTTACTATAATGCTCACCTCTCTTGTCCACAGCCTTTTTCTCCTCCCTGGGGCAGTGTGGGAGGGGACTACACAAGGGTGTGACTACCAGGAAGTGGAGATCACTGTAGGGCATGTTAGAGGCTGCCTGTTACAGACGGCATTTCTTAATTAATTAATTGAAATATAGTTGACGTACAATATTATGTTAGTTTCAGGTGTGCTCCATTGTGATTTGACACTTGCATACATTATGAAATGATCACCATAATAAGTCTAGTGGACTCCCCTGGTGGCGCAGTGGTTAAGAATCCACCTGCCAGTGCAGGGGACAGATTCGAGCCCTGGCCTGGGAAGATCCCATATGCCGTGGTGCAACTAAGCCCATGCGCCACAGCTACTGAGCCTGTGCTCTGGAGTCTGTGAGCCACAACTACTGAAGCCTTCATGCCTAGAGCCTGTGCTCCACAACAAGAGAAGCCACTGCAATGAGAAGCCCGCACACCTCAATGAAGGGTAGCCCCCACTCGCCGTAACTAGAGAAAGCCCGTGCGCAGCAACAATGACCCAACGCAGCCAAAAAAAAAAAAAAAAGTCTAGTAACTGTCTGTCCCTATACAAAGTTACTACAATATTATTGACCATAGTCCTTATGCTGTAGATTACATCCCCATGGCTAATTTATTTTTTAACTGGAGGTTTGTACCTTTCAATGCCCTTCACCTATTTCAGCTCCTCCCACCCCCTTTCCTCTAGCAACTACCCATGTTTTTTCTGTATCTATGAGAGACACCATTTCTGTGTTGTTGGATAGTTAGGTTGGTTCCAGTTTGTCAAGACCTTAAATAACACTACAATGAACATCTAGTATAACAAGCATTATGTTTAAATTAGGAAAAATATATTGTTAATTTTTTTAAAGAATTAAGAGCAATTATTGAGAACCCTGATGAAAAGTTGTTATACTCACAGTTACGGTTTATTAAAGTGAAAGGATACAGACTAAAATCAGCAAAAGGAAGAGAAGCATGGGGAATGGTCCAGGAGAGTTCCAGGTATGAGCTTCCAGTTGTCCATTCCCAGTGGGATTGTGTGGATTGTGCTTACCTCTCCCAGCAATAGGGTCTGGCAATATGCGTGGAGTATTTCCAACTAGGAAAGCTCACCTAAGCCTTGGTGTCAGAGGTTTTTATTGGAGATCAGTCATGTAAACATGAATGATCACCAGTGTGGCTGATCTAGAATTTCTATTTGGATCTTTTTTAAAAATGTAATTTCTGGACTTCCCTGGTGGCGCAGTGGTTGAGAGTCTGCCTGCCGATGCAGGGGACACGGGTTTGTGCCCCAGTCCGGGAAGATCCCACATGCCGTGGAGCGGCTGGGCCCGTGAGCCATGGCCACTGAGCCTGCATGTCTGGAGCCTGTGCTCCGCAACAGGAGAGACCACAGCAGTGAGAGGCCCGAGTACCTCAAAAAAAAAAAAAAAGTGTAATTTCTATCTCTTTATTGATATTTTCTATTTTATGAGATAGTATTCTCATACTTTCCTTTAGTTAGTTATTCACGGTTTTCCTAAGTTCTTAATCATATAAAATAGCTGATTTAAAGTCTTTGTCTAATAAGTCCGGTGTGTGGGCTTCCTTAGGGATAGTTCTTCGACTGCTTTTTCTTTTCTTTTTTTAGTATTTATTTATTTATTTATTTTTGGCTGCACCTGGTCTTAGTTGCGGCATGCGGGATCTTCATTGCGACATGTGGGATCTTTCGTTCTGGGGTGTGGGCTTCTCTCTAGTTCTGGTGCACAGACTCCAGAGTGTGTGGGCTCAGTAGCTGTGGCGTGCGGGCTCCAGAGTGCGTGGGCAGCATGTGGGCTCTCTAGTTGTGGCTCGCATGCTCAGCAGTTGTGGCATGTGGGCTTAGTTGCCCTGCGGCATGTGGGATCTTAGTTCCCCGACCAGGGATCGAATCCACGTCCCCTGCATTGGAAGGTGGGTTCTTAACCACTGGACCACCAGGGAAGTCCCTTGACTGCTTTTTTCTTATGTATGGGCCATACTTTCCTGGTTCTTTGCATGTCTTTTGCTATTTTGTTGAAAACTGGGCATTTTAAACAATAAAATGTGACAAGTCTCAAAATCAGAACTTGATCTCCTTAGGGTTTGTTATTGATGATGTTGTTATTTGATTTGTGACTTTCTGGGGCTACTGCTGAACATTGGTATTTTATATCATGTTGGCTATTGAAGTGTGTACTCAGTTAGCCTAGTAGTCTGCCAATGATTAGATAGAGATTTCCTTAAATTAACTGAACCAATAAGTCTCATCGTCTTTGCTGAGGGTCTGTTGTGTGTTTCCGGGCGCGTCTTCAATATTCCAGCAATTTATAATTCTCTCTTAGCCTTTGCTCTTTGTGCACAATCTCAAGGTTAGCCAGAGGTGAGTGATTAAGCCTTCCAAGGTCTTTCCTGGGTGTGTGCACAGTCCTGCACGCACACGTAACCTTTTAGATCCCCAAGAATATGTGAGAGTTTTTCAACCCTCCTATGGGCATCTCATTCCTTAGGTTTTCCTTATGTTTTTGGCTGGCCTCTGTTTGCCCCAAGCAGTATCAATGCTTCAGGCAGCTGTGGTGTTAAACAACTGCCACTGACTGTTTTAGATCCTCTCTCTGGGGACAGGGGCTTCTCTCATGGAGTGAGTTCCGAGTTGGGTCAAATAAAGACAAGCCTGTGAATGAGGCCTTTTCGGGGAGCTGAAGAATAGTTCAGATAGTGACAGTTCTCTGGAGATGGGGCTTTGGGGAGCTCCTGAACCAATTGTCCCTTCCCGTGGCTGGTAGGCTGCTGTTTTTCACAGCTACCTTGATTGTGAACCTGCTGATTTTCAAGCTACCATGGAACTGGGAAGAGAAGGATGGAAGAGGGCAATTTAAGCCACAAAGCTTACTGTTCTTACTGATATTGACTTTAAAATATATATATATCCCTTTGGCATGCCTTGTAATTTTTTTTGTTGAAAGCCAGACATGTTGTATTGAATCATATGAACTGAGGTAAACAGGCCTTTTGCGTGAAGATTGATGTTAACTGGGCTATAGGAGTTGAGCTGTTCTTAATGTTTGCTGTAACTCTAGGTTCTAGAGCCTTCAAACATCTCTAGTGTCCTTGTTTTCATTCCCTTGGGACTCTGGGCTTCCATAAATTCTCCTCCTCAAAGAGAGTTTGTGTCTTGTAGCTCTTTCAGCTGTTATCCACTCTTGTTATACTGAATTCCTTTTAGTATGGTGGTAAACTGTGGGGGAGGGGGAACATTCTATAATCCTTTGATTAAATCTCAGTCTTAGAATGAGCCTGTTTCGGGAGGCCATGACCATTACATGTGTTTCTCCATTAGTATTGCTTTCTTGCCCCCACCTTATTTGTGTAATAAAATTCCAAACGAATTTATAATGCTAAGAAATCACGTTTGATCTGAAATACCGTGGAGAAAGTAAGATGCAAAATATTATACTTAACTTATTTTTTAATTGTATGACAAATGCATTCCTTGCTGCAGAAATGTCAGATTATAAGGCATGTTCACATTAAGAATACTGTCATAACAACAGAAGAAAGATTTATTAACTTTATTGAAATGAAAGAGAAATTTAGGTATTATCTAGCTTAGGAAATTATTGATACTACGGAAAAAGATGATATTAACATAATGCTAGTGGTCAGCTATATAAGGAACAGTGGTGACAGGTACACACAAGGTTGTAAAATCCATTATTTCCACCAAAAAAGTGATTATGTCACGTGACTCTGCGGGCACTGGCCCCAGCTTTTTCAACTGGAAGCCCCAATGTTTGTATATTTTGCCCCGATCATGGATATGTTTTCCCTTTCTCTGGATTTGTGTCGGGATCTCTCCTAAGAAACAACCCTGAATATGGAAAAATTAGTACAGCACGTGATGATTTCCAGCCTTTAAATGCCTCAACAAATGGATACTCCAAATGCCTCAATAAATGGGTACTTTTGTAAAATAAGTCTCGCTAAAATGATATATGAGAAAGTTGAGAGTAAAAAGATGGGGAGAGCGCGGAAAACGGGAGGTTCTGTGCTCATTTTTTCAGAAAATAGACTCGAGAGATCTCCGTGGCCAAGCTCCCCTGGCAGTCAGGGCCTGGGAAAAGCAACTTTTTATTCAGCATTTCTGCAGCCCCCAGGGGTCACGCAGGCGGACCTGTGATAAATGTAAGTGGGTTTCTTGTCCGGGAAAAGGCGCCACATCTCCCGGACTCAGGACGTGGATCCCCGACCCAGGACGTGGATCCCGCACCCACTAAGGAGCCTATCGGTCCCGGGGCGAGTCGGGCACCCTCTGCAGGCCGTTGATGAGTGGCGAACAAACCCAAGCGCCTCCTTGCGGCCATCTCGGAGAATCACGGAAATTTTCGAGGCCCTGCTTTTCGTTTTTCGTTGGTGGCCCTGGAGAGTCTCTGCTCTAGCCATACCTGTTCTCTTTCCTGGGACAAGCCTTCGTGCCATAGCTTGGAGAGCAAGGAAATCTTCATAGCTTTAAGATATCTGAAAAGGATCTCTTCTAAGTCATGCCATAATGTCAGGACCGACTTCAAGTTTCAGGAGAAGAACAGGGGATATCAAAACCCCAAAGGCACTGAAGCACCCGTTTTGACCATCCGCTGCTTTTCAACCTGCTTGACAGAGGACTACAGTGGAGCCTGAGATAAGAGCCCCCTTGATAAATCTCTCTCTAACTTGGATCACAATCAGCCTTTGATCACAATCAGGAACAACTGGAGCAGAAGATAAAGGTAGAATCTCTTCAGGCTTGTACCTGTTTTGGAATTGTCCAGAGGAACTTCCAAGAACTCAGTAGCTCTCTGAAGCAGGGGTCATTCAGCCAGTGTGCCTTGGAGCTAATCTGAGAGGAGATTGAAGTGAGATTTTCCCCCATTTAACAAATCCCTACAAAAAATCAGGAAATAAAAGAAGAACGTGAAATTGGAACACTCTTAATTTTATTATTGTTTGCTAAGTACAAGAAGGCAATCTACCCTTGTATTTCTGTGTCAGATCTAAAATACCAGAAACCAAAATCATGCTTGTACATCTTCAGTTTCCCCAAAAAATAAAGTTTAGAGAGAAGAACATGATTTATATTCCTTAAATAATTACCTTTATGATTTACATTTATCATTTAGTTTTGCAAATTTTCAGGGAGTCTTTGATATTTCCCCAATTTGAAATATATATATATATGGAAAACTTTCTTTGGTGTACAGACTTCTGTCAGTTAAGGTGAAGTTAGCTTCTGCAACAGAAAAACACGTGAGTATTGTTTGAACACCATACAAGCTTATCTTTTCTTCATATAATACCTAAATGTAGGCTTTCAAAATCAAGTGACTTTGCTTATGGCTTTTCTCCCAACAATGATCCAGGACCCCAGGACCATCTTTTTTATGGATTTGCCATTGTCAACATATGGCTTCAAATCTGGCTCCAGTGCTTGGGTCTATCCCACTCATTGTAGAGGGTGAAAGAGCATGTTACCTCTCTTGGGGGAGTGTTTTCATAGGCCAGGCCTGTGTGGGCCAAATATCACTTCTAGCCACGTAAACTTGGCCAGGACTCAGTCTCATGGCCGCACCTAACAATAAAGAGGCTGTGAGACAGTCTTAATTTTGTGACTGAGGAGAAGGGGATGTAATAGGGAAGAACCTTTGTATTTTATTACAAGTTAATTACTAAAGGGGTGTTGCCTATAAACTTAAATTTTACATAACGGCCCATCTTTGGGAACTCTGCCTCCCAGGTAATGAGCATTAAGCCAAAATACCTTAGTTTAGCTCACTGGAGACATCCTGACCACATCCACCTGTGAATGACTGTAGGAAGGAAGAAATGAACACATCCCCTCTGGAGGCTGACCAGAACCAGGAAATGTTTGATTTTACTCCCTCCCCTTTTAGTATAAAGGAAGCCTGAATTCTAACTCAGGCAAGATGGTTCTTTGGGACACAAGTCCACCATCTTCTTGGTCTGCCGGCTTTCTGAATAAAGTTGCTGTTCCTTGCCCCAGCAACTTGGCTCTTGATTTATTGGCCAGGCATGGGGCAAGCAGTATGAACTTGGACTCTGTAACTGAGAGACGAGATTGGTGAATAAGTGCACTGTTGATTTTTACATTATAAACACTAATTCGGTTTTTAGAATTAACATCCACTTTTCTTGCTTAAACACAATTTACCCAATAAAACTGTGACTCACAATCTAATTCCATATATTAAACCCAGGAAATACACTCAAGGATGTCAATCATAAGGTTCACAGAATCATCAGCTCTTTTTAAAAAGGGAGATTCACACTGTTTCAAGAGCATAGATTAAAGTTGAAAAAGAGCCTAGATTATTGTTGTCTCAAAATAAGAAAGAAGGTAGTTAATAGACTTAGTAATACTTAGATAGAGATTGACACTGGGGCCATCAGTCAGTGACTATGACAGATACTCCCATGTCCAGGATGATGTATGTGGTCTTTCACTCAGCATACAGAGAGGTTGGAAATGGGACTCACTCTTTCATGTGCTTTCATTTTACTGTCCTTCAGTTCACGTGTGATCAGTTAAGTGAACATCTCAAGAGTTATCCTTTCTTTATTCAGGTGCTTGACAGTTTCTAGAAGCCCTTATTACGCAGTTTGTGGTTCACCAGGGTGGGGCCCACTCGTTAATGTCCTTGAACACGAAACACAGTTTAGGTTGAGTGAGACCCATTCCCAGCCTCTTCCCCAGTACACCTTTATTCCTCATCCACACATGTTTTGAGGACTGACTGACTCCACGGAGACATCTCAGGGAAGGCAGCCATGGTGAGGGCTCCCAGGAGCTGGCTCCCAGAGCTGGTCCCTGCATCTTGGGGAGCCTGAAGTCAGGTCTGTCCTCCCGGATTGGCAGACATAAAACACTCACTTTTTGGTGGAGGAACATGAAGATGTCCCCTTTGCCCAGATAATGGCCTGAGCCAGATCACAACCCATAAAAAAGATGGGGCTGGAAAATGGATGTTCCTTAAATTGAAAAAAATTTTCCTTTAAATATTTTTGACAGATTTGATTTGTTTGGAGACACTTCACCAAAAAAGATGTGTGGATGGCAGATTAAAACATGAAAAGATGCTTAGTATCTTAGTCATTAGGGAAGTACAGATTAAAACCACAATTGAGGGCTTCCCTGGTGGCGCAGTGGTTGAGAGTCCACCTGCCGATGCAGGGGACGCGGGTTCGTGCCCCGGTCCGGGAAGATCCCACATGCCGCGGAGCGGCTGGGCCCGTGAGCCATGGCCGCTGAGCCTGCGCGTCCGGAGCCTGTGCTCCACAACGGGAGAGGCCACAACAGTGAGAGGCCCGCGTGCCGCATAAAAAACAAAAAACAAAAACAAAATTGAACAATTGAATACTACTACATAACTATGAAATGGGTACAGTTTTAAAATCTGACTCTAGTAAGTGTTAGAGGATGTGGAGTGAATGGAACTCTCCTTCACTACTGGTGGGAATGTACAGTGGGGGCATGGCCACTTTGGAAAACACTGGTAGTTTCTTAAAAAGTGAAATTTAAATAAAAATAAAGTGAAATTTATCTCTTCTGTATGAGTCATCTATTGCACTCCTAGATATTTGCTTAGAGAAATGAGAGTATATGTCCTCACAGGACTTATACAGGAAAATCGATAGCAGCTTTATTTGTATTGCCAGGAACTGGAAACAACCCAAATGCCTATCATTAGGTGAACAAGTAATGTGCACATCCACGCAGTGGAGTACTATTCACCCACGAAAAGGAACCAAACAGGGGTGCATCTCAAATAATGAAGCTGAATGAAAAAAGCCAGACCCCCCCAAAATCATTTATACTGCATGATTCCATTTACATAAAATTCTAGGAAATGTAAACTAATCTATAGGGATAAAAAGTAGCTCAGTAGTTGTCTGATGGGGAGAGAGTAAGCGACAGGCAGGTAGCAGAAGGAAGGGACTATAACAGGAAAACTTTTGGAGATGATAGATATCTTCATTACCTTGATTATGGTGATGGTTTCGTGGGTGTATACACTTGTCAGTGATTATCACATTGTATTGTTTAAATATGCCCAGTGTATATTATGTCAATTATATCTAAGAAAATTAAAAAAAAAAAAAGAAAAGCCAACTTGGACATGAGGGCAGTCCAGGGCTGCCCAAAGTAAGGCAGCATCTACTAAGAAACAAAATCCAGGCGCTAGTGACTTTGTAGGGAGGTGGAAATCACAGGAGGGAATTCACGCCCTCTACTGGCCACCAGAGACAAAGACCATTCATCCCTGTGGGCAGAAGGCAGACAAGCACATGTGTGACCTAAGTAGAGCTCCTCCGGCTTTCCTAGCAAAGCTGAAAAGAACTCTTTCTAGTCAGGACTTCTCTTATCTCTGTGACAAAGAAATTTGTCTTCAGCGTCAGGTAGCAGAGAAAAACTACAAGTTATTTAATCTCTCTATACCTCATGTTGCTGATATATGGATAATAATAGTGCATGGGTCATAAGGCTCAGTGTGTAACCTATAGTTTTCCAGCTCAATAAGGCATATCTACTGTGATGTAGGATAAATGTAATGTGAATAGATGTGGAAATATATGAAGAAATAATATAATACACAATAGCAGATACATAAATGCCTAATAAACGTTTTAGTATATTTGGAATCTAAATAAATGCAAATCAAAATGAGATATCATTTTAAAGCCCAAAAAAGCAAATATTAAAAAGAATCTTTAAGATTGTAGGGGAAGGGTGGGACTTCTCTAGCGATGCAGTGGTTAAGAATCCGCCCACCAGCACAGGGAACACCAGTTTGAGCCCTGGTCCGGGAAGATCCCACATGCCACGGAGCAACTAAGCCCAAGCGCCAGAATTACCGAGCCTGTGCTCTAGGGCCTGCATGCCACAACTACTGAATCCCGTGCACCTAGAGCCTGGGCTCTGCAACAAAGAGAAGCCACCACAATGACAAGCCCGCCACCACAACGAACAGTAGCCTCCGCTCACCGCAACTAGAGAAAGCCTGCCCAGCAATGAAGACCCAACGCAGCCAAAAATAAATAAATAAATAGATAGATAGATAAATAAGTTTATTTAAAAAAAAAAGAATGTAGGGGAAGGGTAAGATGGATTATCGTTGCTATATGTCAAAACCTCCTAAATGTCACAAAAATACACAAGATAATAGTAAATAATCAAAATATCAAAATACACCCCAGGCATCCCCATGCCTGTCACCTGCTCCCCTGAAGGGCACCTTCCAAATACAGTGAGGCATTTGTTCAGGGGCTTCACCACTGGAAAGCAGGGCGGGGTCCAGAAGATCCATGTCACAGAGGCAAGAGCATGTTCGGCTCTGTGCAGAGAGAGCCCAGGCCCACCAGAAACCAGAGGTGTTTCCAGGACAAGGTGGATGTTAAAACTCTGAAGAACAAGTCAGTCATGGACCAGTTCCTAAATTACAAAGCAGGGGTAGCTTGTGGAACTAATGCAATGAGAAAAGTCCTCCCAAAGATGTACTCACGGCCCAGGAGGGGACCAAATAAGCAAAGTCCTTAAGATTACAAGGCCCCCTCTTTCC